CAAAATAATTGAGGCGAAAGGGGGGAGTCGTAAATGTTTCAGGAGTAAAACGTTAGCACAGAAGCAGAAGTGACACAGTCATATATATCTTTTTTCCCTGGCTACTGAACAGTGATAGAGCTATGTTATGGTTTTTGCTCTGGTTTGCGAAACCAAACAATGCCTTACACTGCAACTTGTTGAGCAAGCAATACAATATATGACAGTCTTGGTAGTTTTGAGAACCAACCTCATAGAATCTGAATTTTCCTGTACTTAGATGAAACGAAAAGTAGCGCACAAGTACTTACAGAAAACAGAGAAACTTAGACGTAGCACAAACAGAAAACAAAAGAAACATAGATGTCACACATACATACTTACAGAAAACAAAAGAAACATAGATGTAGCACATACAAACTTACAGAAAACAGAAACATAACAATAGCACACACATACTTACAGAAAACAGAGAAACATAGACATAGCACACATACATACTTACAGAAAACAAAAGAAACATAGATGTAGCACATACATACTTACAGAAAACAAAAGAAACAAAGATGTAGCACATACATACTTACAGAAAACAAAAGAAACAAAGATGTCAAACATACATACTTTCAGAAAACAAAAGAAACATAGATGTAGCACATACATACTTACAGAAAACAAAAGAAACAGATGTCAAACATACATACTTACAGAAAACAAAAGAAACATAGATGTATAGTAAACAGAGACCTAGTACTGCTTAAGTACTTACATCTTTTGCTGCGTGGTTGGCTAACAGAGCTGCCCCCAGTTTTCCCTGACTTGCATATTTGTTGTCCACACTGCAAGAAGAAACATTAAAAAACCACCCACATTTATTTTTTTTTACATGTTTTCTGGCAGTATCCCTTCCTAAAAAGGTGTGTTGGTGCTAATGACTTGATTTATTCGTGGTTTACTTATGAAAACATATTACATTTGCAACATCAACACAAAACACTTTCACTGCATGCTTCCCCCCCCCCAGTAGCTGAGAATGTATCCGAGTGCTCTAGGGTCTACTGGGGTGAAAACAATTGTAGAGTGAAAAGAGCATGCTGCAGAGTGTGGATATGCAATATATATATATATATATATATATATATATATATATATATATATATATATATATATATATATGTGTGTGTATATCTAATGCAATTATTATCATAATTATTATTATTACGATCCAAGGAAACAAAAATGTGTTTGTCTTATTTGACAGAGTCAGGGACAGACAGGTTTTCCTTCATGGACGGGACGAAATCTACCGTTGGCACAATTTGATAAAATGCTCCAAAATCAAACATGTTTGTTTTTCGAGATCACGGATTTGACAAGTTTGATGAAAACAGCCATTCACAAGGTTACTACGTATTGCAGGGTCAGGCCCTTTGTTTGCATGTGGAATGGGACAGGCCCTATTGGACTTCCAGGTCAAATCTGATGAAGTAAAGCAGAGGTCAATTAATGCAGTGTGCACTTGAGAATACTTTATTTGATGGGTCCTTAAATATATCAAATGGACATAGTGCACAGGGCACAGCTGTACGCTTCCAAATCAAATAATTTTTTTTAAACGTCTTCATTGACATTTCTGATGTTTGAGAAATGAGAAGCACATCAACACAATAGTGAGTATTTTATGCTGGGAAAAAGTATGACACAGACAGAAACAATAGAGGGAAAGAACAGAAGTACTGCTGAACGTGCCTGCATTAACTCTGACTACCGTCATTTTTTTATGTTGAGGGACCATAGAGACTCCTACTGAGACGTGGAAGTTTTTCACAGAAGCTTTACTTTGAAAAATAGATATGTCTTATATGTTCCGAACTAAGGAGGAGTATAAACCTGAAATATTTGTTTCCATGTTTCTTTGAGTAAAGAAAACCACATCAACAACAATAAGGAGCATTTAATATACAGGGTCCCCACCAAATCCTGGAAAAATTTTTCAAGACCCCAATTCGAGGGAAAAATCAGGCCGCTGCGCGTCAAGAATGATCCCCCAAAAAGCCCATCTATCAAAGATAAAAAGTCAAAATGTCTATAAATGAATGCAAATGTACATTTTGTAGTATAGTCTTCTTCTATAATACTGAGTGACTGCCAACCCAGCTTCTCAATTTTCCAAGGGAGAGGCCTCATCCATTTTCCAGGAACACGTTACATAACAATGACAGCGTGTGCTCCATTTATATCTAATATAATACATGTATATGTTTGTGACACACACACACACACATGTAGGTACATTATATCCAGCCAACAACATGTCAGTGTGGCACTGGGATCTTGAGAGATTTTGGTATTTTAGTCTGTTCTTACTTATATTTATACTTTCCCCTCATCATATTAGCCAACATAACAAACTAGAGGCCATATATAAAAAATGAATCCTGTTTTGAGCCTGAGAAAAGACCTAGAACTAGAACATCGAATGTCAATAATCAGTCTGGGTGTCCTGATTCATATAATTAACGTGAAGATGAAAACCATTGCTCCACCTCAAAGTAGAGTAATAACTAGAATGGCTCAAGTACACCTATTCAGTGTGAGAGGTGCAAGAACTGGGGTGGGGGGGGCAAGATGCAGTGACACTGAAAATCTGCCAATCTTGAACAGAAAGCTAAAATATAGATATAAATTACAATCACCCCATCCAATGAAACGCGAACACTTTAGTTCAATAACAAGGCATGACGGATCCCGATTCCACACAAGGCCTGCACCAACACGCGCTTTGCAGAGAGCTCTAAAGTAGTTATCAAAATGCTAAAAATTTGCTTCCAAGTTCAGTTTTTGTCCTCTAGCGTTGCCTTCAGCTCCCCCCCCCCCCCCCAATCCCCTTCCACGAGTGTATCTTATAAAGGAGTCCTATACTTCACAGCGCTCAGACCGCCGGTACTCACAGGTTCATTGACCGGTCACGAGGGCGAACCTGTCAAGACGCTTGTATAACTTCTTTTTCTTTTTTTTCTCCACAAGCGACAGCAGAGGGCAATTTTTAATAATAGATTTATTTTCAAGGCGACACAGCGTTCATAATGCACAACCTGCATGGTACAAATGTTGCGTTATCTATCAGACTATT